TTTTTTTTTTTTTCAATCGGTGTTTACCAGAGATAGTGGTCAAATGCCAATTTTCTATTCTAATTTGTCCTCTCCCTCAATTCATAAAATTGAAGTAACGAAAGAGGGGGTATTTAACCAATTGTTGAGGTTGAACGAAAACAAATCCTACATACCAGACGACTAAAATTTTAGAAAAGGTATGCAGAGTGGTGATCTCATTATCTAATGCTGATTTTCATTAAATCTCTGCAAGACTGTGCTTTTGCTTTTCCTTTCGACTGGAAATGTGGTAAGGTCATCCCGATTCATAAGCAAGGCAATACTGCACTGCTTACAAATTACCGTACGATTTCATTAACGAGCACTTCTTGTAAATTATTAGAATCATTCGATAAATGTTTGTTGCTAAACGTTTATCAAAATTTGTGGAGTAACCAAATGCTAAGTAAACATCAGCACGGGTTTAGAAAATGACTTTCTACAACTACACGGCTTATATTGAGGTCTTTCACGATTGGAGCCAGTGCATTGATAGTAGGAGACAGATGTAGTATTTTGGGATTTCGCCAAAACATTTGATCGGGTGTCCCATCATAAGCTGTTATATAAATTGCAGGTACCATTAAGGACTGACAGCTGATCGGCTGGCTGGAAGCATATTTATTTGGAGGAACCCAATTTGTTCAAATAAAAAAATGCGAAAGCTAAACCGTTGCCAGCGATTTCCGGAGTTCCACAAGGGTCCATAGCAGGGCTGCTGCTATTTATTATTTATATTAATGACACGTGCGTAGGACTCGACCCGGCAGCAAAATTAAACGCTTTGCTGATTATATGATTAGTTGATATTTACACAACGATCAACACCAAAAGCGATCAGATCAGACTAAATCAACAATTGGATAAACTTTTCGACTGGTGTCAAGCGTGGCAAATGGAAACAAAGGAGCGAAAACTGTAAGCATGATGATTGCAGGTAAGAGAAGTCATTTACTGTTTCAGTACTGTACTGACGACATGCAACTTTGTAACATGAGGGCGTACAAATACCTAGGGTTGGTGTGTACATACAATCAAACCTCTCATGAACCTGTAAGTGGACAAAGTATGTAATAAGACTATGTTTAGACTGTGGACTTTAAGACGATCACTGAAGGACAGAATGGCGGAGGTTAAGTTAACCGCTTTTTAAACCCTCCTTTTATCATCATAGATTGCGAGAGTTTTCTCTGGGAACCTTTCAATCAGAGCGACATTGATAAGTTTGAACGAGTTTATTTATGACAGTTATCATTCCACAGACTCAGTAACAATGATCAAAGGAAGAGCGGGACTGCCTGAAATAAAGACACACATGTATACACATAGTTTAGAATACTTTTTTGAATTAGTAAAAGGATTACATAATATTGATATGTCAAGGCACGTCCACTCTGGCGTCCCAGCTGACTCACGCAGACTTCTTACTTTTATAAATCATAACATATATATTCTCACGGAGACTTCTTACTTGTACAAAGCATAACAAATATATTCAGTCATATCCACATTTTGCAGAGAGCTTTAAAATTTCATTTTTCCCAAGATGTATAGACGGTTAGAATAAACTTGAGTGAGACATTGTAAATGCCGGGCTACGATAATGAGTTTCATGAGCCGTATGGCACCATTGTAATTCTAATTACACATCGTTTTGCTCGTTTGTTATATTTTTATTTTTTTCACGAGTGTAACTGCACCTTTTTGTACCGCCACCCTGCCTGGGCCTATTGTTTTGGGCTGGCAGTATTTGTAAATAATAATAATAATTAAAAAAAAAAAGACTTTTGGAGTGGAGGTGGCCGTAGCTGACGCCGAAAACACCGACTGTTGCCATCTTACTCGGGGCAGAAAACGGATCGACACGGTCTCCGGCATACGACTGATGTGATGTTTGCTTTGAATTGTTCTGATGTGTGGTGTTTCATTCGAGGCAAGTCTTTGTGAAGCAACTGCAGCCTTTCCCGAAGGCGATGGTCGGCTCCTGCGTCGCTTTCAGCTGTGTAAATCGCGTGAAAACGGCAGGAATTACTTTTCCTGCGTAAGTATGCAACGAATCTCGCTCGCTTGCTATAGCTTACTACAGCGTGTGAGCAGGCTTACGGGAGAAAGCTAGATGAGTACATGCATTTTAACGGCAAAATAAAGCCTTGAACATGTTTGCACGTTGCCGGTTTCTCCCAAAGAACACTCGGCGCGCTGCGTGGGAGCGCGCTGTTTGGCCGGGGGGGGGGGGGGGGGGGGGGGGGGGCGGGTAATCATCCATTTATTTGGGGGATAGTTGGTCGCCTACAGCGAAATGTGTGGGCTCCAGGGAAAAGGAGAATAACGACAAGCTTTTCATATCCACTGTGGGGTCTGGTGAAAAAGGTAGGCGATTAATTGGGCTAACAAGTACAGTCGGCCGTAAAAAAGATTGACACAAGTGGTTCGTGGCCCGTGCGGTGAAACCGCCACACGCGGCGCTATATTTCGCTGTAACACGGCGAACGAGAATCACAGGGGTGCTTCGAGAGAGATGTGGTTATCGTTTGTAGCAATTTCTTTTTTTTTCTTTTTACGTGCGGCCTGCTGTCGAGGGTGACGAGTCACGCGTGAGACGACGCTTTTTTTCCTTGTAATAAACGAAGTTTTCGCAGTGATATTTATTTTATTTGCTGTTTCAAATTTGTGCGTGGAAGACGGGAGTATTTTCCTTATATAAACGCGAATCTTTCAAATCGCGACGCAATGAATAAGAGAAAGTATAGAAAACTGTAAAAAAAAGTCTGAACTTGATTACAGTGTGATGTGATGAAAAACAGTATAGCGCTGTTCTCACCGAGCGAGCAAAAACAGAACCCATGTGCGCAGTCCCGCTGTGTTGTTTCGAAAGCGCGCTTTGGGAACGGCTCCGGTGTGTCGACGTCTCCCGTGCATCCAAGAGGGGACTAATCAGGCAATCGCGACCCCAGCGTGCTTTCGCCATCGAAGCGTCCCGTGTCGCCGGCCAGGCCATCGCTCCCTTGTGTCAAT